GGGATGCGAGGTCAATGGTCTAACGACTACGGCATGCACGACTATGAGTTCATCGGTTTCCCTCTCTGCACCAACCCTCGATGGGGAACATGTTTTGCCGACTCAACTGTCAGAGCGCAGGAAATGTAGCTACGACTAAAAACCCAAGAGCTAACACACGGGAAGAGCATGCCGAACCCATATTGGCAACATCATGAGTGAAACCTCCACCACAAACCAACCCGCGTCAGGCATCAACCATAACCATGAGAAACAGAAAAAAAAAAAAAGCCGTGTGAACATACAATAAAAACGCCCCCGTTCATCATCCCGTCCCTTCCAACTTGAGATCTCAATGCCCCTGTCCCCTACGAGATGTATCCTTTGTGGCCCCGTTTTCCAGGCATGATCCATTCTCCTCTTCCGTTACACAATATTAAAAAAAAGTATATTCTAGCAACAAACGTCCGTTCGTTCCGCCTAGGAACAAACTCCAGCCCTTGAGATCTCGATGCACGAGTCCGCGACGACATCTATCCGCTGTGTATTTGTTCTATGTTCTAACAAAAAACGTCAGTTTGTTCGGCCTAGCAACAAACCCAGCCGTTCGTCATCCTTCTGACCTTGAGATCTCGATGCACTAGCCCCCTTCGGTGCATGTGCTCCATGGCCGACACCACTTCGGACAGCCAGAACCTCGCCAGCGAAGGGTGGGCCCCGACCACCTTATCGTCCACGGTCAGCCGCTGCCATACCTCTCCCCCGTCACACATGTCCAACAGGTAGTACAGGGTGCCTTTGTGTGACCACCATCCCGCGCGCACAGAAGAGCAGGGGGTCCCGCACAGGAGAACGGGGGGGAGGGGGGTACGTGGACGTCATCAATTGGCGAAGTAGAGAGGTGGTACAAGGGGGCAAAAGTGAAGTGACCATCGCCCACCCAACAGCACGGTGGTTGCAAAAAACAAACGTGTGTACGCATTTAGGCCACTTGTTACGCTGTCTCTTTTTGGGCTGTCCCTTTTCTCAAAAAGGGACAACTGACCAAAAACCACTTGTTACGTGGTCTTTTCTTGCGTTTTTGAACCTCCCGAAAAGGGACAGCGAAAAAAGATCACCCCATCCTGTCCCTTTTTGGTCATTTGTCCCTTTTTGAGAAAAGGGACAGCCCAAAAAGAGACAGCGTAACAAGTGGCCTTAGAGGCATCGAACGTGTTGCTAACATGAAAAATATCCGTGTGACGAAAGGCTGAACATACTTGTACACGTTACGGCCATGATCTGGGGCCCCGTCAGGGAGGCGCCGGTGGGGTAATCTCCAGGGTGATGGCCAGCCTATGGTTCATCCTTCGGAAACTTAGCCTGGGCCGGCGAAAACCCGGCATATCCCTCCTTCGTCCGGGCATTGTAGGGGTGCGAGGTCAACGGTTTCCCTCCTACGGCATGTGTGTTCAAGTCCTGGAAGGAGACGAATCACTTCTACTACATGTTAAGGCCATGAGCTGGGCCCCCGTGAAACCCCCCTCCCCCCTCCGCTTGTCGCAGCATCGCGAGAACTCACTGTAGTCCTGGAAGGTGGAGTGCATCCTGACAATGTTGGGGTGGCTCAGCTTGGTGAGGGCACGCTTCTCCATGTAGATCTCGTTGTACACGTTCTCGTGCCGGCGCTTCAGACGGTTCACCTCCGCCTTCTCGATCATCTTGAGGGCGAAAGGCTTGCCGGTTCGCCGGTGCTCCGCCTGGCGGGAGCGGGAGAGGACACCACAGAAGCAGCAAAATTAAACAGGAACATGACAAAAAACGCAAATACGCTGGACTAGGCCGACCCGGCAAACCACGAAGCATTTCGCCAAAGCAGCAAGTGTGCTTGACAAGGCCGACCCAGTGCACCACGGAAGCAGCAAATCACGCAGCAATCGATAAACCAAAGGAGCAAGTGTGCTTGACTAGGCCGAGCGAGCGCACCACAAGACGACCAGTAATCGTCAAGCAGTCACCGATACAGCACGTAGAATACGACCAAGTCAAGAAGAAGCTCGCCCCTCTCTCTCGCGCGCGCTTCATCCCGAGAAACAAAAACACACGAAAACACACAGGAAAAAGTCCACCAACACAAGAACAACAATATGCCAGACAGATTTACCCACCACCTCAACGCTTCGCAAACTAAAGATTTGTAAAAAAAAAAACAAGCAGAGAACAAAAAAGCCAACCCCCCCTCCTCCGACGCACCTTCACGATGGTGGAAAAGTTTCCTGTGCCAAGTTCTTTCACGACCTTGAAGTCCTTGATCGACGGTTTCGGCGGATCACTTCCTCCGCCCACCGCAGTACCCCCGCCACCGCAGCCACCGACTCCTGTCGCCACGCCTCCGGCCCCCGCCGTTCCGCTCGACGACATCGACCGTTTCCGCCGGCCGCTCGCCGCTTCCGACGACGACGAGTCCCGACGGCTGCTCGAACCCGAACCGGCACTACTTGCGCCGCTTTGTCGCCGGGAACCCGCGCCTTCTTGCGCTCTGAGCCGCTCCAAAGCGGTGGCTGGGACGGGGAGGGGGGGTAGAAAGAGGTGTTCGGTCGGTTGATCGTCTCAAGGAATCGCATGAGGGGTTGCGGGCTGTTCTATGATAAGCATGTGGTGGCGTGATGTTGTGTCACACAAGATAACACACCCCTGGACCGATTTTCAAAGCTCGATTTATCAACAGCAGAAAAGCGTCCAAGCGCCGGAAATGGTGGCGTTGAAGCCGTCCGGTCGAGAACTTTCCGAAAGCGTATCGTGTCGTGTACGCAGTCTCTTCGTCTTGGAGTAATTGAGCAAAAGCGATCCAGGGTGCGTGCCATCTTGTGTCGTATACGGTACTCTCACATACGTAGGCATCCAAAGGTGACACGAGATATCACCTCCGCCTCCGCGGATGTTTGCCCGAGGGGCTGAAAAACGACAGATCAACTTCTCGCCAGACGTGCCATCTCAACCAATCCCTTGCCTGCCATCATCTCCAGCTCCCTCACGGTCTTCGACACCGCTACTGCCGGGGCCCCGCCGTCGCTGCCCCTCCCCCCTGCTGCTGCCACGGCAACCGGTGTAGAGGAGGGCAGGGACGACCGCCTCTCGGCGGCCAGGCCTTCGTCGCAGGACGTTACGGCCTCGGCGTTTTTGGCCTAGCGGGTCGGGCGAGGGGGGGGGGGGGGGGG